TAGACATTTCTCTATTAGAAAGCTCATTTCACAACTGAAGTGCCAATAACATAACAAGATTTTTTTTTTCATCACAAGCCATGGCCCGCGGGACTTAAGAGGAGGTCTCAATGTGACCTGCGGGACAAAACGTTTGGAGATCTCCAACTGTCATCACGGGAAAGATGGATGGGCTGTTTTTATGCCAAGTAAAACTTCACACAGCGGATTATGCTGCCATCCAATTTCAATTTTTGTCTGTAGTGACTTCGCTATATTCAACTATAAACACGGGCGGATCTACGGGGGGTCTTTCGGGCTGAAGCCGCCCCCAAAATAGTAAAATATAACAATGTTTTATCGAAAAAGTATTAAAAAAGTATCTCTTAAAGTATTATTATTCGTGTAATTAGATTTAAAAGGGATTTAGGAATAACTTAAACACCATTTCATACAGGTAGTTAGTTTCTTTCTTTTTTTCCAAAGTAATTATCGTTATTTTTATGAAAAAAAAACTTTCGGGCTGAAGCCCCCCCCCCCAAAAAAAAATAAATCCTGGATCCGCTAGTGACTATAAAGTATCAAGTTGAATTCTTCATCGTATCATTCGTATTAGCATAGCATCATTGATATTGGTTATTGATATAAAAATTGTTTTTAATTAAATAATTGTCTTATCATTAGGAAAAAAAAATTAAAGTGACTGAATATTTGGTCGGAGACCAAAACATTATTTCAATAGAATTTTTTTATTAGAATATTCAATAGAAATATGCTGGAATAATAACTTCTGATGTCACATAATAGTTTCTAGTGGTATTATTGCGAAATGTCTATTAACACCGACATTTCCTCAACTCATCTTCCTCCATATTAAACGTCAACGTATTAATAACAAAAAATACAATGCTTCCTTACCTTCGGTAGTGAGGAAGAAAAAAAAGGAAAGAAAAAGAAGACAAAATATAAATAACCTGTGTGGCCAATTTAAATTACGCAACTAATATTTAATTTGTATAATTAACTTTCTGTACCTAATTGTAAAGTACTTTTGGGAAATTAAGAGTTCGAAACTGATTCATGAAGCTTGAATTTAAAACTCATAAAATTTTCTTAATAATGGTTTATTTTGTTTTCGTAACATAATTTACAATTAAACTATGGATAGAAGTTTAGTTGGGGGTGATAAGTGAAAATAAAAAAAGGCAAAAATAAATAATAATATTTATTTTAACATTTTTCGACGATTTGTTTTAACGACTCGAAATTCAGGCCTTCATCAGGGCTGATCGAAGAGATCGCTGGATCCAGAGGCCCTGATCAAAGCCTGAATTTCGAGTCGTTAAAATAAATCGTCGAAAAATGTTAAAATAAATATTATTATTGATTTTTACCATTTCTATTTTGACTGATCACCCCAACTATCCTTCTCTTCATTAATCACTACAGCCAACCATCAACCCACAATTATACTATGGGTTTCAACTTCCTTTTAAATTTATTATTTATTTCATCTCTATCGATACATTATTACATATATACATACATTATTAAGGTATTATATATAATATATTGTATTTCTAACAAATTTTAAAATAAATAAATAAATATATATATATAAATATATATATATATATATATATATATATATATATATATAATATATATATATATATATATATATATATATGCATACGGTGTTTATTGTATAAAGTCATTAAGTAAAATTTTGAGGAATTTGAGATAATCTAATTATTATTATTTGTTATTTTGTTTCTATTTATTATATATTTTTCTGTACATATAGTGTGAATGTTAATCTACATTGTAACTAATGCCCAAGTGACAGATTGTTGTAATACTCAATAAATAAATTTTAAAAAAAGTTTATTATTTGTTATTCTAATTATGTATTCTACTTCCGAAAATTAATTAAATTCGCATATACATAACAATAAATAAAAATGAAAAAACTGAAAGTACGACGCACATAGTGACTTTTTGTACACTATCATAGTTTTAAAAAAAAAACACTTGCTTACTTTTATGAACTTGTAAGTGCAGATAATGTGTTAGACTTATCTGATTAATCAATCCAGTGAAAGAAGTCATTAAGTATCAAATACTGAATTTTGGCGTTCTACTTTAACCTTATTTAGAGAACGAGAATTTCATTAAGTAACTTGATGATTGTTTGCTCTGTATAGTCAGAACATCGTGCACTTAATGAAAATAGTTTTTACATATATATGGATTGGTATTATTTTTATGCACTTAACTCATTAAGTAATAAATAACTCATTATTCTATCGGTAAATGTGATCCAAATTAACAACTACTTACCTTCAGGTTAAAATCTAATTTTTTTGCAATAAACCGACGATTTCATCTTTTACTATTAAATTTTTCTTTTATTTTGATCAATTTATAGTCATTCCATTTAATAGTTATCATTTATCACCCTCTACAATGGATGTTTATCTTGTATTTTAACATCAATTACTGTTTGATTTTATTTAAATTGTTAACTATTTCTTTACTACTATAATAAATTATAACGATATTGCAATAATAATTATAAATCTACTAATGAGGAAGAGAAATAATTACTTCGTTCCAGGGAACTTTTTTACACCGGAGAGAAAACGTGTTGACGACGTGTGTATAATCCTGCAGCGGAGCAGAGATACAGCTTGTCAAAACTTTTGTTTGTCATCCATCACTCCAGGCTACTAAGCACTCGCTAATGTCTTTATCGATGTAATTGTTAAATCGCTTCGAAAATAAGCCATTATCGCCAATAAGTCAACACGTAAGCGGCTGGTATTAATATGCTCCGCGGAAAATAAATAAATTAAAGCGAATTTCCTGACGGGATATTGGCAGCTGATTGGTCATCAAGGCCCGTGGAGGGGGTAGTGAAGGTAAGACTCTAATAACTGTCATCTAGTATGGTCTATTTCCTTGTCACGAAAGCAATCCTAGCAACTAGCTCAAAATTAGTTTCAACCTAGGCTCCACTTTCTGGTCTTTTTTATCTAAGTGTAATGTTTCTTCAGTTCCGAAACGAGAAAATTTTGAATTAAAATAAATAAAGCAATGTCTTAAAATAAAAATACCAGGTCTGACATCCCTGTTACTAAAACACTTGAGTTGTTAGTGATGTCTGAAGACTGTTTTAAGGGTAGTAAAACCTCATGTTGGTCTATCGATGGCTTACTATTACTTACGATTAAGGGGTAATAGAATCTAAATAATTGTAGCAATATTGGTGACCATAGAATGGAATGTAGTTTCTCGGGTTCAAGGAAGCCGCAATCAGAAATGAAATAACAAACTAATATTATTATATACGTAGTTTAACCTAAGCTGTTAAGCGATACACAACTACACAGTATTTCTTTAACTTTTTTCACAGTTCCTTTTACGTCCTTCTTCCATCATGGCGCACCATCTCGCACTCGCGTTAGGGTTCTGATGCAATTTTACTCAATTATTACCAATTAAAATTTGGTAGAATATATCTCTACTTCCTCATCACCATATCCTCTCCATCGTCCTTCCTATTCTTATATATTTTTATTCATATTGTGATATTAGGTTATAACTGGCACCACTAGCAGATCCAGGATTGAGTTTGGATGGAGCCTTCAGCCCGAAAGAGCTTTTTAAAAATATATAACGATAATTACTTAGGAAGAAAATGAAAGAAACGTATATGACATAGAGTTAAAGTGATTCTTTAAGTACTATTAAATGTAATTTCACGAGCAATAATACTTTGGATCCAATTATTGAATATTTTATTCATATGACATGGTTATATTTTACCATTTTGGGAGAGCTTCAGCCCGAAAGCCCCTCTCCCCCCTCCGTAAATTCGCCTGTGGCTGTCACTACATCTTGTCATATCGTATTTTACTACCTATTATTTTGACTTCTATAGCAATATTTTATTTCATTACAACTTTATCTTAGAACTGTTATAGTTTGCAAGTTGACCCATGCAAATAATTCGTATAATATATTGAACGAATGGCATGTATTTTATATTATAAGTTTGTATTATACGATGAAAGAATTTTTTTTTCTCGTTCGCTTACAATGGATCATTATTAAAAATATCGGTTTTACCATTTCGCAAATCAATATCAATATACTTTTCTTCATAATTTTTTTCTTTAACACTGAAGGGGACATTAATCTTCAAAATGATGGCGTATTTATCAAAAATAAATTGATGATATTATATAAAGTTTCTATCTTACACTTCGTCTATTCCATTTATTACTTTTTTTTTTTTGTTCATTATTTACTCATATCTGTTTGATTTATTTAGCATTTTATTATATAATTAAATTCTTCCAAATATTATAATCTTGCATATATAATATTTTAACTTGCTATCATATACTATGCTTATGTATTAATTTATCCTATATCATAGCTGGTTTAACATTAATATTTTCAAATTTTAAATATTCATAATGATTTTTTTTATCTTATTTTTTTTCTTGTTATAGTGTTTTTCTTATCAAATGGTATCTCGTTTTTTATTTAGGGTTGATAAAGACGTTAATAAGACTTAGACCGAAATATGGACAAAATAATTTTTTTAAAGGTGTATTATTTCGCATATGCCGCAAACCTAACCAACTTCTACAATCTTATCTATAAAATATTCCATCACTATATTCTGTTGCTTTTTTTTCTGATGATAATTTTAAAATATGTGTTAATATTAGTAAGGTTCTAGATCTAAAAAAGAAGGCTATTTTCCCTTCTTTTTTTGTTATTGAATTAATTTGTAATAAATGCAGTGTTGCTCATTAATTTACCCAAGGCCTTGAGAGTTATCAAAATATCAAATAGAAAATAACTAAAAAGCTATAATTTCTAATATAAATTCAGAGTTGAATATTGGGTGCTTCACTATTATTATAGCTTTTTTTATTTATATTTTGATAATTACACAACTAAATTGATCTTAATGCTAAGGATATCTCGGTACATTTCAAAAATTAGATTGGGTATTCCACCATATCCTCCTGACCTAAATGGGTTTCCCGGTTCATCAGCTCGTCCAAGGCTATCTCGAAAAGAAGGTTCCTGGTAGTAATCAGGAGGATGAATTCCAAACCACAAGCTGAAAGTCGAACTCCGGACCCTTGCACAAGTCTCTTTGGTTTCCAATTCTATTTCGAAATCGTATTCTGGATCATTTTAAGAAAATAAATGCAAAACTTTAAAATATGAATTGGATAGCTTCTAAAAGAAAAGGATTCATTTCATTAACAAAAAAAAAATTCAGGAAACGCAAACATTTTTTTTTTTTTCGTTTCTTGTAATTTTGTTCGGATTGGGAAATATCTTTATTTTTTCTTCATCTTTATTTTGGTTATATTTTTCTGTCGAGGTCGAGATAACCAAGCGTATTGAAGCGTAAATTTTAATATTCTCGAGCGTAGAGGCGCCGCAATTTATTTCATGGCGGACCCACGGAATCAATCTTGACCTCTTCACTCTGGTTAGAATAGATTTTGTTGTACCTCTTAAACAACTCCACTTCCGAATGAAAAAAATGGCGAGGTATGGAGTAATCGAAACAAAATCTGTTGTTATTATTTTCTAATTTCTTAATATTGTTCTGTCTGTTGATTGACTTTTTTTTCTTATTTTCATTCATACCATTAGTGAACTTCTAGAGATATAACTAACATTGAGAAGTGAAGGACGTGAGGTCACAAATTTCAATTAAACTTTTTTTGATAATACTAGGTCGAAAAATATGACCCATGTTCGAGGGTTCTTGCCAATGCGTTCTAGGAACTGAGAAAAAAATATTTTATATAATTTTAAACAAAATTTAGGTCATTAATTTTCACCTTTGCCTACCTTAACCTTTCTTTGCCCGGATTTTCAGGTTATCACAATCAATCGATTTTTTATTTTGTGCAAAATAAGAATTTAATATTGAGTATGGTATTAAATGATTTATAGAGTATCCTAATCAACAAAAATTAAAAGGAGCTTCCAGTAAATAGGCCAAGTAAATTTTAAAAGAAACTTATGTTCTTTTTTTTGTGTTCTTTAAAAATCTTAAATACAAATTTTTATAGAAATCAAAAATTTAAAATTTTATTACTTGATTTTATAGGAGGGTTTTTTTTTTCACTCATTAACTAAAGCATTCATAACTTCTCAAGATTTTCAAAAATTAAGATTTTAGATCAAAGATTCAAGATTCAACCTCAGAGAAATAAGAAATAAATAATAATAACGACAAGGAAGTACGGACTAATAAAATAAACATAATCAAAATAAGGTAACATAAGAAATGAAAAATAGTAATCTTAGAATCAAATGTAAAACAGAGAAGAGTTTCTATTCTAAGATCTCTGAGAGTTTTTATTCAAAGATTACCATTTTTCATTACTTATGTTACCTTATTTTGATTATGTGTATTTCATTAGTCCTTACTTTGCTCACGTTATTATTATGTATTTCTTATTTTTTTGTTACTGTTAATATTCTATCTACTTTGTGTTACTTTAATGTTCACTCTATTTACTTAATTTTACTTTTAGTTTATTTTACCCACATTTTTAGTCTATACCTTTCACCTTTTTAATTTTAACTCTTTATTATTCAATGTTTATAGTTTCTCATACCTATTGTTATGGAGTTTTTGTTTCATCTTAACCCTGATGAAGGCCTGTACTTCGAGCTGAAACGTCGGCAAGTATAAAAATGAAGATAATTCTTTATTTTTACTATTTTTTATTTTGACTGATCACCTCAACCACCTCCCTCTTCTATCATCATTAATATTTATTTATTTAATTTCTTTATGTTTTTCCCCCTAAGAATCTCTGTATTATTTTAATACTTAAAGTTATATTTCTTTGGTTTTACCTTTGTTATGTTTTATTTATTTAATTTTTTTTTTTAATGTGCCTAACAGCTCTATTCAGTACCCCTAAGTGTGGTAAAATGTAATATACCTCAATATAAAGATTTAAAAAAATGTTTTAACATGAGACTGATGTTCCGAACTATTAATAAATACAATTGGTAACATTTAAGTAGGATTTTCTTTGTTTTTATTTCTCGTTTACAGTTACATTTAGATAATATTGTTGAACCAATTTTGAGGAAATGGTTTAATTATTTTGATCCATATTTCGGTAATTTATATTTTCTGCTTTATAATCAGTGCACACGGGTACTATTATGGCCGTTTTAAAAATAGAGTCAATAAAAGAAACAATTGAGGAAGAAACCTTGGATTAATCCTTGATCAAATCATTAAACTTAGTTCAGAATTAATCTATGTCGATCCAGTCTGTTTTCAGATAATATTTTTAACCATTGATTCGACCTCTAAGATCGATTCTACATCTTTACTTTCGCGGGAAATTCTCAACGCTCATTGCTGGCTACATTTATAGACTAGACCACGGGCGGATGTATGGGGGGAGGGGGGAGCTTTCGGGCTGAAGTCCCCCAAAATTGTAAAATATACTCATATTTTATGAAAAACATTATCTCTAAAAGTATTATTGTTCGTCTTACTACAGTTGATATGACTTAAAGAATCACTTAAAGACCATTTCATATAGGTAATTAGCTTCTTTCTTTCTTCCAGCGTAATTGTCCTAATATATTTATACAAAAAAAATCTTTCAGACTGAAGCTCCTCCCAAAACTAAATCCTGATTCCGTTAGTGGACTAGACAGATGGACGAAATATGGCTTACCGAGAGCCATGGATTGAAAAAGTTCGTCCGATTAATGAGGAAATGACATTCGTCCGTTAAATCTTGGAAAAATGCCTAGATCGGATGGCACATACATCATTCTGTTTGCGATCAACCTAGAAAGCGGTAACCTATTATCGGCTTTCTCCGAAATAGGGAAACACAATGATTCATTTGAAATCTGAAGTAATTTGAATATTTACTTTAAAACCAGCAAAGGGAATTTCACATCTTATTAGACAGTTCAATGTGATTTTTTTAATATCAGGGTGGTTGAGCGGGCTAACGCTTGTAGTACAGCACCGCTGCACAGTGGGGCGAGTAAGGGAAAACTCGCGAAATTTATTTGAATCTGTCTAAATCTTTTTTTTGGAAACCTTCGGCATCGGCTAAAATAATTATTTTTTATATAATTTTAAGAGCTAGATAAACTGTTTAATTGATACCTTAGGCAGGCTGTGAGAATATTTTTAGTTGGCAGAATAAACATTTTATACTGTTTTTAGTAAATAGTTCAATTGAAAACCTAATTAATTTGCGGAATTTCACGTGATTTGTAGATTTTATAAAATTGCTTGAGCTGATGGTTGATAACTTTTTCTTGAAACATTATATATTCTTTACTGCCATTCTGCTAAGTTAAAAAAATATAATCATTTCTAAAACTTGTTTTATTTCCCATCTTTACAGCGATTAAAAATATCCTTCAGAAAAATGGATGTGTTACAATTTTTTAGCAGTCATTGTTTAAGATAAATTCTTTTTAATTTAAACCGCCATTGTCCGCCTGGTAGTTAAAATATATTTGAAATTATTTTTGTATGTATAAATGTGCGAACAATTTTGAAGTATGTACTAGTATCTCCTATAACTAGACATGCTCCCAAATTTAGTTTTAAGAATTGTATTGAATATAAAGAAAGGTTCTGTAGTTATTTGTTTCGAAAAATACCTCAAACCAAAATAATTTACATTAAATATTAAATCTTCGTTTCCATTGTTTTAAAATTTTTATTTTGTCTACCTACCAAGGCAAGAAATAAACTTTTATAATATTCTTTTAACTGTATATAACCATTCTTTATTTTCGTTCTAATCTAAATAAATAAACAAACATAGCACCATTAAATGAGCTAAAGTTTAAAATTAAATAAAAGGTGGGATCAATTCGTACGCCGTAGAAGACGGTCTCATGGGAAAAAACAACTTGAATTTATTTATTCCACTAAGATTACTAGATCTTTTAGTAATAAAATACAATTGTTTTCAATCTCTAGCCCTTATTCTTTTTAAATGTCGTTATAATTCCATTACGGTAAATTGAATCTGAGAGTATTTGGTTGACGCTTTATAACTTGATCTACATTAGTTGTTGTTAGTATTGTAGTTACTTTTAAAATAAATGAAAAAATAAATATATGTTTCATCGGAAAATGTCAGGAAGTATCGATGGTGTTCAAAATACTATCACCGATGGTTTTTCAATTTGTTTGTAATAAAAATAAAGTGAAATGTTTATTATTTCATAAGAACTGTTATAAAATTGAACATTTATAAAAACGATACATTTTTTACGTTATTAAATAAACATACCTCCTGGCCCGGGGAAACCCCCGTATATCCTAAAAGGCGAGGAAGGGGAAAACAAATTCAATATAATTATGCAAATAATTATATTTTGATGTACTGAACAATAATTGCAAATGATCCACGACCGGTTTAAAAAAAAAAAAATATTACATTGGGGAGATGCAGGAATCACTTTCATCATCCATAAAGACTAATATATCACAAATCGATAGCTATCAAGTTATGACTTTATTTATTTATTTTTTTGTTTGTAATTAATATTTTTAAACAGTTTGTTTTATTTGTTTTTGTAAATTTAAAAAATATTTTATATTTTTGATAATATAATATATTATATTATTAATACTATTTTTTTAAATTGATTCTTACATTTATTTCCACTTAGGTAGTTATTGCTTATTGTAATACTTCTGAGTAAATAAGTTTCACTTTTGTCAATGGCTCAATTTATTACTTATAATATCTCATTTGTTTTAGAACACTTTTTGGTGTTCAGTGTTTTTCCAGTATTTGGAAACAATTAAGCTCAAAATGCTTACAAATTACAGTATTAAATATATTTATATTTTCCGTTTTATTTATTTTTTTAGAGAACTAATAAAACTTCAACCAATTCCTGGCAATAACCATATCCGTTTTAGAATATCAAAATTTGGTGTAGGAGTAGGATGCCTTCCACTACACTATTCAGCTCCTTGCAGCATACGGAAAGCTCCTTGTATTGATTCGTGTAAACATACAAAAAGTAAAATAGTATATTGTCTGATGTATTGTGTTTCGTTTGGTTATGGAAGGCACCTCCCGACGCCAAAGTTTCAATAACCATTGACCCTAACTTCACTAATGATTCAACAATGTGTTGATATACAATGTGATAATGCATTCCGTGTGAGTTTGTAACAAACAGTTATTTTTTAAGTTAAGTTAAGATACGGTTTGTTTTCAAAAAAATTACTTTTATTTAATTTCATATGACTCCCTCTGAAAATTTGTGATACTGGGATTACAAGGCTTTTTCAATTAGAAAATGTGACCTAAGTGTAATGTCAGATATTCATGCTGAAACCCAATCTGAGTCTAACTTGTACTTATTAATTTATTCACAATATTATCTATACAGTCACGACAGTGTTGATATATAACTGACAGAGCTAATGATAGTAGTCAGCAGGGGTAGATAGTGTGATCATGTAAGGTAGTGGGCATGTGGGCATATACGGTGCCTGTATGCATATGAGCTACTGTTACCTCCATTAGGAAAGATTGTAACTAAATGTTTCCTAACGCATAATTACATTTATACATAGAATAATCCGTGGGACAGACTCTTTTTATCAAATTATTAGTATCCGTTTAATACTTCGTGAACAGCTGCTTCTCATCGTAACCTATAATTTTTTTATTTACGAAAATTCTCAAAATTGCGGCGTTTTCAAACTTTGTCTATTTAATTAGGTACTAAGACCTCATGAACATCCATTTGCTTTCCACTTGAATTTGTACACAAAATAAAGAAAAAGTTAGTAAAATATTTGGCCATTTGGGGTGACCTTCACTCCAACATGTCAAAATAGAGGTTACATTGGCCGAAGGGCTCAACATTTTTTTTTCGAATTCGTGATCAAATTATCTTACAATTCGAGTGGAAAACAAATGAGTATTTATCGATTTTTATCACCTTATTAAATTAATTATTTTAATGATAAAACGCCGGAGTTTTGAGAATTTTCTTAGATAACAAAAATTGTAGGTTACGATAATATGTAGCTGTTTACGAAGTTTTAATTGGATGTTAATAATTTAATAAAAAGATGTCTGTATCACGTACTACTGGAAGTATTAAGGAATAAATAACATTTACGAGTATTTTATGAGTAAAATAATCGCCTTACCCCAACCAGAATGAACCTATAGTACTTAATATTATTTACATGGGTTGGATAGGTTGATAAGGTATAAGAAATACCAAAATGGAGTAGCAGGAATGATAAATGGTTATCCAAACTGAAAGTGAGGATGCTGTGTAGCCTAAATAGCTGAAATGAAAATACATATAAATCGGTACCAAATTGATAAATGAGACCGCTTTTATTCATTGATCTTTACTTAATTTATTGATTAGTTATATATCCATTTTATCTCATCCTTCAAATATGAATAAATAATACAATTTTAGAAATTATTACTACTTTAACAACAATAAGTAACACATACGTTTTCATATTATTCCTCCCTTACTTTATTCCTCGTCTAGAAATAACGATAAAATCGTCGGAACGATGTTAAAGTTACGCATGTTAACCTATCTAAGATTGCTCATTCGTTACTTTAACACGGAAGCGAAGAAAGTTATTCATTGGTTATTGGTAAAAGTTAGGCCTTGCATAATACGTTTGTAAATCGTTAAGTAGAACTTCTGAGTTTAATAAAATCTTTAAAAAAATTGATTTTAAGTATAACGGTTCTGAACGATAGCTTGGCCTTGAAATGATTGTCATTGGAGGGATATCTGGATGAGTTTTTCCACAAGGCATAAATATTCTGCACACATTTTATTGCTTTTTTTTTTTTTTTGATCCTGATGAGAATTCCGATAGTTTAACAAATGCATTCGCAGGAATTCAAAAAAACTCTCGCTGGAACTCAGTAGAGGAATCTCGCAAATCAAGATATAATATTCTTGATTTAATATTAATATCTGAGGAGCTCTGATTAATCATGTTTTCTATTTTATTCATGCAAATTGTTTTTTTTTCTCTTTTTTTTCACTTGCATAGCAGTGTATAGTTAAATATATATGCGTGCTCCATGCAAAATTGCGGAAGAAAGACTTTCAGGAGAACAATATATGTTCCGGCCACTGGCATTACTTTTTCTAACTTAATACCAAATCCAGAACGATATTTAACTTCTTTTACTGCTCATTCAATGAGTCATTCAACTGCATACCTTCGCAAATGAAAAATATAAAACAAAAAATATATCGGGCGTGAAAATACCATTTTAAAAACAATGCCTCAATATCTTATAAACTTTTTCCTTTTAAGCACGCCAATTAAATCCAAAACGTTTAAGTATCTAATCAAATAAATTAAGGTATGACGTTGATTTGTGATTTATTGAAGTCGAAAAAGAAAATGTCAGCAGGATTCCTTCCTATGTTTCCTTCCTAAAAAAAATGTTTTTAGGCAGAATTCAAAGTTTTTCATCAACAACCTGTTTTGTGATTTATTTTGGTTAGTTTATTTGAAGATCGCTGTTCAGTTATCACTCCTATATTTGAAGATCTTCTCTCCTAGGTTTTGTGGCAAGTAATAATGGGAAAGTATGTCTAAAAATATTAAAGAAAGTCCTCCTTTACGTATGCTGGCATCTGTTTTATTCAAATAGTATATCTATTAGATGTATTTAAATTAAATAGTTCTGTTGTTTTTGTTTCAATAATTTTACATTTTTTACCTGTGTATTGATCCTATAATTGTATTATGAGTTGTAATATATCTGTGAAGCTTTGATGTGATTTTGCTAATTTTGAACTAACATATGAGTGTAGACTATAATCAAGTACCGATAATTCATAAAAAAATTCATAACTGCTAAAATTTCATTGTAGACCTATAAAGGTGCATTTCCCACTCTTTAAATTTGCTCTCGAGCTTGATGATGATGATCAGGTGCTGAGAATAAAGATGAGTTCACGAGACGATAGCCTCATCAGTTAGTCGGATATGGATCGAGCAACCTCTGAACCTACAATTAAGATTCTCTTTTGTATTACTCACGGTTCCATCGAGGGATATCCGCTAACCCATCCTTACCTCCAATCCTTGTATTGAACTTCTGCAGACGAGTATCGCATTAGAGCCGGATTCGATTCGGAGGTTCGGACCGGTTTTTCGCACTAATGTGACATAATAAGCCCTCAGGCAGCCTTTTTTTTTTTTTTTTATCTCTTTGCCCAATAAGGATATTGGCCAGAAATCTCTTTCTCAAAAGGTAATGATTCGGAGAGGTTGGGATTCCATAACGGTTCCGATGCCTGATTCAGTGAAGGTGATAATCTTGTACCTGCGAAGATTTTTCTGTACATGTAATGTTTTATTCATATCGCCCCTATCGATTTGTTTTGCTAATGATAAGTAGCGTAGAAGCAGTTGTTTGAGATGTTAAGCTGTCCCAACGCCTTTCCCAAGTACTGATGTGATAACAAGATAGCCTTTTCAAGAAGTCTCTTGAAACTTGAAGACTTTAGCTGATACAATTGGAAATACGTCTTAACGGAACATTTAAAATGGCTTCATTCAAAATGAAATAAATTCTATTTAATCAGCACATCCCTGATCTTGAAAATTATATTTTGAAAATTTTATATTTGTATTCAATAATTTATTATAACCTCAGAAATTAATAAATCAGCCAACACATAATTCCAAATTACATCTACCACCATTCACATATGGTGGATAATACTTATTATTTACTTACTTTTATTTGTTCTATTATCCATCTACTTACTTTTTTTCTGTTCTTGTTTTGTATTGATTTAGTATTTCTTCCTCTCTAATTTTTCATTTACTAAAATCAGGTTGTGATTTCTATTTAAATTTTTGAATAACCTCTTTTTATCTATTTAAATTTTTGCTTGCTCACTACCGAAGATGGGAAAGCTATGTATTTATGTGTGAGGTTATAAGAGCTGTCCTCTAAAATCCTCATTTTATGTCTGTAGTTAAAACCAAGTGACTCGCATGACACTCCTTCTGTATCTTCCTCTTTGAGGCAGTATTGGTGTTAAAGCCCTCAATCTAGCTGAGCTAGTCGATCCCGTCCTGACATACCTCTTCATTTGAGCCAGTTTTTCTTATGCTTGCTCCTGTTCTTCCTACATATTCCTCGGAGAGGATTTTCGAGCGACCTTGGAACTTCATATCAGACGCGACAAACAAAACATACTGTTTTATCTATAGAAATTTCATCAAATTCCGTATAATACTTTCATTCTTTCGATGGTCTATCGGTGATATCGAATTTCATCCACTAATTTTGCTTGAACGTTCGTTTCTTGTTGACAAGACCAGTCTTGAAGAACGGTTTATCCTGTTGATTTTATCCCCAACTGACTCATAATTGACACCGAAATATCGTAAAGAAGTATGTTAAGATGGTATTTTAATTATATTAGATTAAAGCTAAATAAATCCCATCTACTCTTCAAGTCATTAATAGTATATCCCTCAATGCAGGATATGAATCGAAGTATCTAGAAGCAGCTAGATGAGTTTTTAATTGCAGAAGTTACAATTAAAGTATTCTGCAATAGCTCTCCTGTGTAAATTATTTAGCTTTATAATAATCATGTCTGGTGATCATTCTTAATTTTAGAAATGTATCTTTTCTTGGTCTACCTCTTGAGACTTATCTGGTTACAGAAACGTAATCTTTAAATATGGAAATCATTGAAGTTCCGAACGTAACGGTACTCTACAGCTCAAAAGTTAATTGCCGACTATTGCCTTAGTGACCATGAGAGCATAAAATAGTATTGCTTTCCTTATCGTATATGATTGATGGATCTACCAGACAGTTGGTAGACCCGATCCAAATCTATGACCAACTGCTACTTGCTACAGGAGACAAATGTATTTCTCTTGTCGTTGTCTTGAAGAACACTTCTAAACAACAAATAACGTACAGCAATAACGTAGCTTGACACTTTTATCAGTATTTTAATCGAGAAATGTATGGAAGGAATTGTTGCAATATTGGTACACACAAATAAAAAGCTTTATTTTATTGTGTGGCAAATTTTTAGGTCTTCATCTAGATAAACCACACATGAATGTGTAAATAATGAAAAAAATAAATTAAATAAGGAGATATGAATGAAAAAAATGCAATAAAGTAAGACACATTAATATATATATATATATATATATATATATATATATATATATATATATATATATATATATATATATATATATGTATGTATGTATATAATGTTATAATATTTGTGATATACTAAAATACACAAGATGAAAATATAAGAGGATGATAGATAGTATGACAATACATGAAATTATAGGATGGACACAAAGAGGTTATGAAGTTCCTGAGGACATTGACAATAAATAATTACTGCAAACATGCCTCAACTCCTCAGATTTCTGAGGCAAATGTGATGTTGATACCAATATCAAAAATACTTCAATTTACAATTTAATTATTTAAGAACCGAATGTAAAAAAAATTTACATAGTTAAAAATAGTATCGTGTAAGATTTAGGTTAGGTTACCTATTGAGGTAACAAAGTGTAAAAAATATAGGTATATACATAAAGTAACTAATATGCATATTTATCTATCTGAGACGTTAAAGTAATGTGCGCTCTTGTTATTATTGTTAAATATCTGGTTAAATATTGTGTTATCATGTTAATATGAAATCAAAAAAACATTAAGAAAGCTTACTGAATTCATTTTGAATATGAATAACTTTTTTTTCAGTAAAGAACTGAGAAACAAAATTACAGGTACGAATCATTGCAATTATTTTAAATGTAGATCAATTCCTGTTTATTATTTTCAATAATAATAATTTGCTATTGACTGGGAATAAAAAATTTCATTTAAAAGTTGAGGTTTTACGTTTCGATATACTATAACCCAAATGTGGGATGAAAAAAGCAACATCCATCAATCCGCTGTCCGTGGTTATGTTCGATACTCCTGGGTCGATGTATTTAATGATTTGGCATAAAAGTCCCGACTCACCACAAGATGATACTCAGGATTTGAAATAACCATCCGCTATTTCCTTTCACTGATTTGAGGTTTTATACAACGCCGTCCGGCTTTTCTCTAAGACTACGGGTCCACTCTTTTTTTATTTTTTTTTTATTCATTTATTTTATTTTTTTCATTCTTTAATTTTTTTATTTTATTTTAGCACCAACATCACAGGTTACTTAAAAATGATTCTTTCCGCTTTTTCGCTTATCCCTCGGTCATTTATGAAACTTTGTTTTTTTAGACTCGTTTATTGAGAAATATTACAGGCTCTCAAAGGACATTTATAATAGTGTTCAGAGATCACATTTACGTTGTATGTGCAATAAATAAAAATAAATTAAACAGCAAAGTAATATATATATATATATATATATATATATATATATATATATATATATATATATATACAATAAATAAATGAAACTGGATGAATACTTATCATAAGTCTTCTTTAATCCTGCCAAAGCCAAAAAGAAATATAAATTTTCTCTAGTCTTGACTTAATGATTTCTAAACAGATTTTTATTGTTTGTTATGGCTATCTATTCGGTGTAAAAACCATTTAGTAATGACTTCTAGTTTATTTTATGTGTATAGCTGAAAAATGTCATAACTGGGTTTTCAAAAATCAACTCAATGTAAAAAAGGGAAAATAAAAGTTTCACCTAATTTAAACAATAAGGTTAAAGTTCAAAAACGGTTGTAATTTTGTTAGAACTTAAATTTTTTTTAGACCATATCGCTATTCCGGTTCCGGCTTGTAGTTTTGTTGCTGCAATTTATTTTTGAGTTGTAGTCTCATAGCTCTGTGTGTTTGTATGTGAACAGTCTAGTTAAAACTGAAAGTTTTCGAAACTAAAATCGCGTATTTAAGGTTGGTGTATGCCTGAGATTTTACAGCAACCTTTTCGTAAATATCGGCTAATCGGAAGTGCTTCATCATAACATTGATTTTAAATTTTTTTTTTCCTAATTAACTTATTTTCTTTTAATTTTTATAACATTTATTTAATTGTACCTCTAAGTTCAACTGCCATTGAACGATCATCTAATTCAACTGTTAACGATTATTTAAGGGAGCGGGATAGCTCAGTGGTGAACGCTGACTACTGAGCTCTAGGTCCCAGGTTGGAATCCACTAATTGGAAACTAGTAATTTTTCATCAGCCGTGGATCAACCCTGGGGACGGGAGATCCTCCTGGGGCACACCTAGCCTCTATAAAGTGGGCACTCTTAATTAAATAATTAAATAAGGGGGAAAACCTGGCGGTTGAGCTTGATCTCGACTCAATCACCAGCACAAATGTTTGGCCTCGTAACAGTACTTCCTCACATAGTACTGAACCCTTCATGATTCGAACGACATTTCTTAAATTGGAAATAAAATTAAAAAATTGGCTTACTGAATTTATGTTTATAAATTTATTAATCCACCATTAGGAAGTTAAATAGATACAGAGATATATTATGAATTATATTAAAAACCAAGGGGGAGAGGTGTAGCTCTTCCAATGCTAAAGGTCTCAGGTTTATAATCCCGGCTGATGGCAGAAAAATTATTTATTCTGTTTCATTGGCCGTGGGGCGGCCTTGGGCAGGTAGACCCTCCTGGGGGCACATCCAGCCTCTATAAAATGGCTACCCTTAATTAAAATAATTATTTAAGGGGGAAAACCTGGCGTTATCTCCTTGCCAACCCTGAACCAAAAAACAGTACTCTCTCTGAATAGTACTGAACCCAAGACCCTTCATGGGTTATTGTGGTACAGGTTTTTTTTTTATATTAATAACCGTACAGAATTTATTTACTACCTGATAAACGACAATTGTTTTTTGTATTGTACCAAGTGACGTAAGTATACTATATTGTAAATTTTTGAGTTGTATCTTTTTGGCATTCACTGTTAATATAAAGTTCTTTCCAATTTAGGAATTTTCATTTTATCAGTATATTTTATCCTTTTTTCTTTCAGTAATAAAATAATAGCTAATAAGCAGTTATCCAAAAAAAAACATGGTAGCAACTGTTATTCATCATTTCAAATAGTTTTGTTCAATTTATTACAGAACTCAAGTTACCTTCGTGTACTATTTTTAAAAGAGAAACCTGGTCATACTACTAGATTAATGAAATGTGAACCGATACAGAACTGGTATGGTTCAAGTCGAATAAAGATAGCACTTGGTTTGCGTGCACTCACACACTCGACACTTGGAATACCCTACAGAGTGGAATGCCAGCCGTCATGGTTTTCGCTTTCGCCAACCAAGTGTAATGGAAAACTCATCCAGCTCTCCTCTAAGCAATGACATGACAAATGCACCTCGGGTTCTAACTTAGCCTCACCCATTGTATTGCGGATGACTCCTATTATGCGTCGAAAGTTTATAGTGATCCAAAAGCAGATAGCAATATGCTTGGCTGTGCTTGCTATTCATTGCAGAAAATAGAGAACTGTTATTAGTACTCAGGTATACTGCAGATAAATGAACGTTAAACGTAAGAATGAAATAATTGACGCAATTATCCGCAGTATTGATGTGTTTTTATGATGTAAGCTGCGTTAATTGTGAAGAAACTTGTTACATTATCTAACACACTCGAACCCTATTTATGAACGGTTTTTTAAAACTTTTACAATAAATTGCATCTTATTTGTCTAAAAAAAAAATGCATTACATTCCAAGAGTGGTTTTAATTTATACTGCCGAAATTACATAATACAATAATTATCCAGGACGTAATAAATTACTTATCATCCTACCCGATTTAAGGACAGCCCAATAAAACTACACTGAGTTTCAACTTACGTCAGTAGTAAATCAGTAACAGTTTGTTTAATTTTATTTTTATTTATTTGTTATAATTTTGAGAGAGGTAAATATTTCAGAATGGTCTTTAAACTGTCATATCCGCCAACTGAGAAATATACTCGATCACAAGTTACCATCGCTGTCCCAAAAATTGATCATCGATTTCATTTAAAAAAATAATAATAATAAGACAATATTAATGAACAAAATAAATATGATAAAATTAAATGTTCACGAATTATTTTTTTTATTTTTTTTCGATTACCAAACCTATTTTAACTAGAGTGGGAAGGTCGATATTCATTTCGCCACTATATAAAT